TCCAAAGTAGTTGCTCCCCGCATGTCATGGGAGCAAGTTCAGTTGGAAATCTTTTCGGTTCAGACCAACACCAAATCACGTTGGCTCGTTTTTCTCCCCATGCTTATTTCAGCCAACCAAGAATTAGTCCTCTGCTTCAAACCTTATCACCTCGGCCAGTTTGGGATCAAACCTGCTGCTCATGAGAAAACTGAGCAAAGAGGCTGGAAGTTGTATATCTCCAAGATCGACCGCACCAAGCATCTCGCAAAGCTCGTCGGCTTTGTAACGAGAAGGTAAGTCAGCCGGATTAGCCGGCGATGGGACCCGCTCCATCCAAGCAGAAAAGGGAGTCTGAGTGTCGATGATTGAAACCAAGCAAACCAACAGAAACATGGCAGTAGAAGGGCTGCTACGTTTGATCAAAGACATCCTACACGCTTCATTGTCAATGAAGCACAAACCACATCTTGCAGCCCACTGCTTGCGGCAAGCCCATCGCACACATACGTAGGCGTACATCTCCACTTCGCAAATCACCTGTTCGCCCACGTGCTGCAACCAGTGCTCGAGAAGTCGGTCCGGCACAGTTCCATGGAAGACATGCCTTTGTCCAGTCTGATTGTCAATTACCAAGGCTCCCCATGACCCAATGCGACCTTCAAAGGCACCATCGGTGTAGACAATCACCGGTTTAGTATCTTGCTCCACTGTCACAACCCTGGGCTTCGCAGCCTCTATCAGAAAACAGATCAAATCGCAAAGCTCAGCCGTGGCGCCAGAAGAGGGGTTCTCGCCATACATCCATTTGGTCAGAGCATGGGTCGCCGGCTTCAAAGAGTGCCCCAAAACAAATCCTCCACAAAAATTCAAGAGGCCTGCCACAGACGCAGCCGCTGCTCGTCGCAACTTGGTCGAGTCGCGCAGTTCCTGCACAAGCTGCAGGATGCGCTCTTTGCGACCTGGTTTGTTCTGGACAACAAGTCGGCCTTTCCACAAACCTTCCAAGTCATACTGCACCCCCAACGCCTGCATCTGCGGCCCAAACTCTGTAGCCTTCTTACCAGTGACTGCATGCCTCCAGCCAAGAATGTTGAAAAACTGATCCAGCGCTTTGGCAGTGAGTTGCGTCAGGGTTTGTATCTCGAAACAAGGAAAATCATCATAGAAGACGCTTGTCAGCACATGCATGCCGTGCACCAAAAGATGCCAAATGGCTCTGGAAATTTTGTTGAAAGCAAATACAGAAGCGCTGGCACCAAAGGGCAATGATTGAGTAGTGTAATAGCGCCAACCATGACGACTGGTTTGGTAACCCAGAACTCCATGTCTGAGCGACTCTTCTGCGATCGCTACCTGACGGTAGGCTTTGCTCAAGTCCACGCAGCGCCCAAGCAAAGCAGGTTCGCCAGTCATCGAGGCGTGCCACTCCCCACGCAAGACAGTGCCGTCCGAAAGGGGCACAACCACACCATCCTTGTTGCAAGCCACCCACATGAAGAACCTCAAAAATCCTATCACAAAATCAGTGTCCTGCAGCGCAATGTATGAGGATGAAGCAAAAGCAGCGTTGACGCCACTGTCACGGTAGTTGTCGATGATTCGGATCTTTCTCTCTTCACCCTGATACAGTGCAAACCTCTTCGATAGGCTCCATTCTTCGGAACCCACAATGCCAGAAATGTCACCCTCAGAATGAGGGCCTTGTAGGAACCCCGCCTCGACCTCACTTAGGCTCTCAGTTTCCAAGTCGTGCTCTTGTGCTCGCTCTTCATCAGTCATAGCCCTGCCAGTCATGGCACGACGTCTCCATCTGGCTTGATGGTCGAGTTGCTGGGTTGTAACTTGAGCTGGCCTGTGTTTTTTCAAGTACAGGGGTGATTCAGGTTCCACCCCCGTGAGAGGAGCCCCTTGTTCCATGATGTCACAGACATGCATGTCCGCAAAGTTGGTCTCCTCAAGGAGACGCCTGAACAGTTTCAAAGGCTTGCCAGCTGTCACCTCATTCACATGCCGAGGGAGGGTCTTTCTCAGTGCTCGCTCCTCTTCCAACAAACCCTTTTTCAAATCCAGCATGTGTTGCAAATATGAAATGCACCGCTTGGCCACAGCATGAGGTCCTTCGGTGCACAAGAGGAAAATATTCATCCTGAGGCCGTCAGGGACAAGGTGAAATTGGGACGCAGGATGTTCGAGCCTCAACGCCCGTTGAACATGTTCCCCAGGTGAAAAATAAAAACCAATCTTGAACAGCAGGTCATTTTCAGCATTGTCACCTTCGTTCATTTCCCCCGCAGGCCAAGGTGTTTGTAGGACTTTGCAAGGAGGTGCTTGTGGTATTTCCGGAAGCCATTCAATTGAGGCATATTCTGGTATCAAGGAGAGGTGCTGTTTGTGTTGCACTCCAGTCTGTTGCAACACATCCAAACGAAATTGTTTCCAAGTGCGTTGTAAAAGCTCTGGTGGCAGTTGGCGCACAACGCATTGAACCATCCTCTGAACCAGCAACTGTGGGTAGACAGCTTCATCAGCAGTGTCAAACTTCCATGATCCGTGTGTTTTCCTCACACCCCAAGTGGCGTGGGTGTGGGAGCCGTCACATTTGACCGCCAAAGGTTCAAAAAGCTTGGGAGAAGACTTCAATCTCGTAGCCTTCGGATATTTAGCTCCATGCATGCAAGCATCAAAAGAAACGTCAATTAGGCCGAAAAACCATCTTTGATAAGCCTCGTCTGGCCGTCGTTTGACCAGCACTGTCAGGATGGCCCAAAGCCAAGATCGCTCTGGATTCTCAAGCGAAATGAAAATTTGCAACAAAAAGCAGTGATACATCAAAAATTCGGCTGTGGCGTAAACTGCATTGGCCGCTTGAACCCGGGCCTCCTCATATGTAGTGAGGCCTTCAACTCCAAAAAGCCTATCCGGCGTCCTCAAAGGACGTGGATTGGGTGCCCCTGCGGCACGCAGCTCCGAACTGACGGGTCTTTCCCTAGCTCGACTGCAAGTACCACACGGCAAGCCCATGTGACACCATTGGGGGTGTACAGCCTGAAAAAGCTTGGGCAAAAACTCCAGTGCATCAGGGCTAGCTAAGTCAACAACCAAAATTGCAGCCGCAGATCGAAACCTGTTGTATGAATGGTCAATGGGAAAAACTTGAAAGCCCTGTCTTTGCGCTTCGGCTGACAGGACTGCACTTCCCGCGCAAACTTCCACCATAACAGCAACGCCTTGTGGCGACAATGTCTTGGGCAGCTTGTCAATTCCTGGTCAGTGACTGCACTCGATGTATGGCCGTTTTTGGCCGCAACCTTTATAGTAGCACATGTGGACACCCATGTTGCAAGAAGAATTCTTCTGCTTGCGGCACGTCCCATTGTTGTAGTGTAAGCAAATGAACTTCCCAGTGTCCGTCTTGGACTGACAATTCGGAGGCAGAGCTTGCAAGAGATCTTTGACAGTCTTGCCACCGGCTGAGTTCGGCTTGAACTGCTTGTTCTTGTCACCACCCCTGGGGGTGAACGGCTTGTTGGAGTCATTGGCCGGTCTCTTCGGTGGCTGTGGCGTTCCGGTCGGCGGAGCTGTCGATTGTTTGGGACGCTCAAGGTTTCCAGCAGGCAAAGGTGTCATGAAACACAAAATCTGCGGTGAAATCCGCAAGTCCTCAATTTTCTTGTCTAATGGTGGGTCTTCGCCAGGACCAACTCTCAAAGTGCCTCTGGATTCCTGAGACAACAAGGACCACAATTCTCGATCTGCATTCAAGACCTGTTGCATGGAGACAAACTTGTGCCCACTTGGTGGTGTGCGCATCGTTGCATGCATCATCTGAGTGTGCCATTGCTCCAGTTTGTCAAAGCTGCAAAGCCCCGCCTGATCGAAGGCCAAGGCCTTTCGGGTGAGAGCTTGTCGAAGTCGGAGCTCCCCAGTCGTGTCGCAAGACATGTCGGCCGCCTTCTTGCTAATTCGAAGGTTACCCTGAGAGTCAAAAGTCACCTGTTGCTCTGTTTTTTGATTCTGAATCTCATCATGTCTAGAAAGGCATTTTTCTGGAGGAATGTGGACAAGCACTCCATCCTCGATCATTGCATGGGCTTTGTCAGTAAGGCTGTGGGCCGGTTCCAAAAATTGGTCCAACACCAGCCCTGTGAGCTTCTGTTTCTGCCGCTGGATTCTAGACATCCGTTCAGCCAAGGGAAGGGACTTTGGAGTGTCCAGGGGCGTCTTTTTGACGCGCTCTTCCAACTCCGTCATCGCCAAAGTATAGGCCTCAAACCACAGCTGACGAAAGGCAATCATGCTGATGGGTGTGACATCTTGGCCAAGTAGCTCTTCTAGGGCCTGCTTGAGTTTAGAGTCATCGCCAGAAGTCGGGTTGGCAGCACATATGAAAGCCAACTTGTTGAAAGTATCAAGCCCAGCAGCAACTAGTTTGGTCAGCAAAGCCTCTTCGATGCCCACCTCTTTGGCGCGCTCAGAAAAACTTGCCCTGGACTCCATCGTCACGCTCGATCGATTTGTCAAATGAAACAGGTGACATGTTGTGAAATGAGTTGAAATGACATGCACCTGCAATTAACGATCAATTCCATGACTTCACCAACTCAAAAATCAGAGTTGCAAAACATGTGATCGAAAAGAATGTCCTAAGCATAAACTCCGTTGCCTGCCACTTCCTTTCAAGCCAAAAGGCCTTTCACACGTGAGTATTGTTCCTCTGCACGTCAATTGAAGTGGTTCACGCCGGCCAAAAAATTTCACCCGACTAAATCAAATGGTTGCCGCTTTCTTTCAAACGATCAAGATGTGAAGTCCGGAGTTTCACGTTTGTGTTTAAACAAAATTTCGGAATCAAAATCAAGGCAACATAGGAAAGTCACATGCAATCAAAAATCCAGCCAGAAATTCAAAATTGCACACAAGAAACAAAAACATGAGTCACAGGGTTATGCATCAAAATGACTGAAGATCAGCTGCCGCAACATCGACAAAATTATTTTGGCTCAGGCCCGCACACTGCTTCAAGTGCCGATCACAGCCCTGCATTGTTCGCAGAACTCCATTTGGCCAGGCTCATCTTCGTCGCCCTTCATGGGGACCAGGTTGCATGTGATCTTTCTTCCACAGCTAAGCTTTTCAGTGTCGGAAATCAAGTGCACAATCCCAGACAACCTGTGTTTGAAGCAGCACGCCAGGTCGACCTGCGGGAAAGGGTTCCTGCCCAAGGCCTCACGCTCGCCAGGCAAGCTTATAGGGTTGGCCTCGACAGCACCCGTGTCCTCCACATCAGACTCTCCAAGCTGGGCAGCTTTGGCCATCTCATCAGCATTCAGTCGAGCTTCCATTTCCTCCTCGACCTGGGACTTCTCCGCAATTGTCTTTGGGTCGACAGTCAGGCCTGTCGCTTGCGCAATCCTGTCAACCCTGGACAAGTCTGGATCGAAAAGCCCGCTCTTGATGGATTCCACGATCATCCTCAACTTGATGAGGGCCCCCACCAACGCATCTCTAGCGTAGGTTATGGCCATGCGGCTTTCTTCAGACTCATGGTGTCCAAGCCACAACCTCTCCTGCATAGTGAGAGACCCAGCTTTTGCAGCCCAAGACAAACAAGTCGCCTTCAGTGAGTGTGTACTGTAAGCAGCGGCACGGTCAGCGCTCATGCCTAACATGACCAAGATGTCCTTCAGCCAGAACGATCCCTCAGCCGTGGCCATACGCCTGGGCAACCACTTCTCACCATTGTGGTCGTCAGCACACATCAAAAATGCCATGCCGTCGGCTCCAGAGCGCTGCCGTGCTAAACGCCACTCTGCGCTCCAACTGAATGCATCCAGTCCACACCCCAATGCGATTAAGGGCAGCAATATTGCCCTTCTTTCACCAGTGGCTGTCTTGTACTCGCTGAGGTTCGCCTCCACCAGGGTCAAATCAGATGAAGTCGAATGCTGAAACTGCAAGCATGCTGGGTCAGCCCTCGATGCGTCTCCAAATCTTGCACAACTGTATATACAGAAAAGCATGAAGCCAACAACAGTTTGTACCTGACTGCTCTTGCCCGTTCTCATGTACAGTTCCATCTTGTACACATAGTCTGTAGGGATAGGTGGCGCCTGGGTCAATTTCCTCTTGGTGGCAAACATGCTGTTCACAACGCCTCGAACCCTGCCAGGGATCAAAGACGTTTGGTCCTCAGCGTCTACCCCAAAAGTGTATCTGAAAAATGACCAGGCTTTCAACAGAGTAGCACCCGCTGTGGCTCCAAAACCAGACTGTTGCATGTGGCATACATATTGGTAAAAAGAACTCTCATCTGGGCACAACGGTCTCCTGTGGCAAGTGGTGACCAGGAAGTGTGCAAACTTGTTGTAATCTGACACCCTTTTCACAATGGTGCTCACCGCTTTGCCAGCTACGCTGTCTCTCAACGATTTTTGCAGAACGTCCTCAGCAATTAGGGACCCGGCTTTGCTGACTAAGGCCCTCCCCAACTGTGAGTCCGCTGGGTTGAAGAGGATGATGTTCCTGAGTTTGGATAGAGCTCCTGAAAGAAGAGCATCATCAGATTGAGCAAATCTCGATGCCATGAGCCGCTTCCCTGCAAAAGGTTGGTCAGAAATCCACTGCGTCTGCTTTGCCTCAATGATTGAGTCAACAGGCTGGGAGGAGAGTTTGTCAAATCTCCCCAGCAAGGGCAACTTGAACTGACCTTCAAGGCTAAATGAATGCCAAATTCTCTTGTGCGGCAAATTGTCCCAAGGCATCTGGATTTTATCTCGTCTTTGCAGTCTCAGTGTAGCATCAGCAATTTGGTCATTCAAACGGCCTCGCAATTTAATCTCAGCGTTGCACTCCGTCGCAATTGCATCAACCATAGCTTCAAACGCCATCTGAGGTTTGTGGGAATGATCCAGCGCCGATGTTTCAAGTGGCAAGTGGTCAAAACTCTGTTGTCTCCTGCGTTTTGATACAGCCCCAATTTGAGTTGCATCAGTTTCACCTTGATCAACTCCTGTCCATGGGATTCCCTGTAAAGGCACTGGGGTCCCATTTGAATTGTCAAGATTTTCTCCTGCTTCTTCATCACCTGTAGCTTCCGTCCAATCCCCCGCGCCATGAAGCGAAGAAGAGGGCGACTCAAAACCAGTGTTTACCACAGAAGTAGCCATAGAATCCATGACACTCCAAAAATGAATCCAGCAGCAAAAACTCCGCAACTGTATGAAAAATGAATGGTGCGAGAAGGGATCACTAAAGGTTTGACTGCGACAACACCTCGTTCAGCAATGGTGAATCGCCTGCGCATGCCCTGAATCAAAATTCGGCAGTTGTGTCACCGCTCGAAGTAGGTAAAGAACTACCACTATCAGACCGTGGGCCAAAGGCCAGAGCCACGCGTGGGGTAGCCACCTCACGCACTGAAATGCCGTGAATAAAACTGAAAATACAGCTTTGACACCAATGGAGCCACTCAGGCCAGGTCAGAAAGTTAAGCAATGCAGATCGAACTGTAGCTTGGGAGAACCGGAAAAAAGTAAGTTCCAGTAAATTTGCAGCAGGCAAACGTCTGGTCAAAGTAAATGTCACGAAGCCAGTGTTCTCAAATGTTCGAGAAAACATGCACTGAACAAATCACCGCAGGTCAAATGAATCAAAAAGGGGCATCTTGAGTCAAAATGATACATCGTGAGGTTGACAATGAAGTATGCCCAAATTAAACTGAACATCACAAAACGACCAAAAATCACCTTGACTTCAAGAGTCAAAAACATGTCATTGAATTTCACGACATGAAACAAAAACCGATCACGTGAAAGTGTCTGTTTTGAAATGTTCAGAAAAAGGTGTTTAAAAACTCCAGGTTCCGAGTTACGGTGTGTACGCTCAGACTACAGGAAGGAATCGCATCCAGGAGAGCGTAGAGGAGACCGCAAGAGGAACAAGAGAGAAGGGACGCTCGCACGATTTGCGCTTGTTTCAAATTGGGGCACGCTCAAGTGGAGAGGAGGAAGTAACAAAGACCAAGTGCAACATAATCGTCACACACCAGAGAATCACAGTTGGTTAACGTACATGTAGCGGTAAACTACACGCGTACGTTGCGCAGGCTTCACCAGGGCTAAAGAAACAGCGGGATCTGCAAGCAGAACCCTTACTTAAATCCGATCTCAGCATGACTGCCTTTTTTTGCGCTGGTCTCCTCTGCTAGGTTGCAACCAAGATGTTTGCCGCACATCGGACAATGCATTCACCAAAATGTCGGGTAAAACGACTGATTTGCAGACATCACCACTGCTCACACGTCAGACATTTGTTGTATGTAGTCCATTTGATTGCAACGCACCCCAACCAGTCGACCACATCCGGTTCCATTTGTTGAGCCAATGCGTGGCCTCTACAAATGTTGAGTAAGGGCCGAAAAACATACCCAAGATATATTCGTAGGATTTTTTGGATTCTAAGCATCACTGCAGATCACAGTTTCATTGTCGTCGGTAAATGGAGCGATCTATTCGTCTTCTTGATTGTGTCTTCGTGCTTCTTCTCTTTTCCACTGATCATGGAGCGACGATGCAAATTCAGAAGCTTCCAAAGTCAAAAGGCGAAATGCACGCATACTCTGTTCCAAACCTAGAATATTTGGCAAATGAGTGAGCTGAGCGTTGGCCCACATGTATTTGTTGGCAATTTCCTCCCAGTCATTCGGATGTTGCTTTCCGATGCCATGTGTCACATCATTGGTAAGTCGCTGAACTAGCATAGCAATTTTGGAATCTGTCTCTGCAAACGTACCTTTCCTTTTGCTTTGCAATGATGTTTCTTTGCTTTTCAATTTGCGAGCATCCACGTTCCCATTCTTGTGCAGCAGAGATTGAAAAAATAAGCTGCATCCGTCCAAGCTAAATCGAAATGATAAAACATTTCCAAATCGTTGTCTGCCAACTTCCTCGTTACATGCCTCCCTTTCTCCAGGAACTGTTTGACATTGATTGTCCGAGTGTTCCACTCATCATTTGCAGTTTCTGTGAAAGCTGAGTGGATGCATACCGTCAAATGACCTGTCAGCAAATAAACCAGGCATGCCGTATCTAGTTCCTCGGGTTTTGGCATGTTGCGACCAAGTAACGAAAGTTTTTGAGCTCGAACTGCAAATAGAATCGAGGACAAGATGATGTGTTGTTTGGATCTGATGGAAAAGACCATGAGGACTGTTTGTCTTTCGTCCCTAAGTTTACCGTTTCCGCATTTGTTTGAAGCCAAAAAAAAAGTACATTTCCCTTGCACTTCGAACAGAAATCAACAAGACCTTATGAGAAGATGCAATGAAAGCTAGAAATTCTCTGCAAGAAGCTTATTCTGAGTCAGTAGCCACGATAAAGAAACGAAACATGTTTCAGCAGACACAGCAGAACAACTCTCTGATCGTTTCTTCCGTCTGTGTGCAAACGGAAACCTTGTCTAATTAAGCTTCATGTAAATTCTACAATGAAGCAAAAATGCTTTCCCAGCATTCATTAATTTCTCGTTGAAAACGAGACAAAATGATTGTGCAGGGCAGCTAAGAGGTAACATGATGAAACAAACAGCTTGTACATATGATTTTTATTTCCAATCGTATAGCAAATATATAATCCTGCCATAGTTGTGTTGATCTGAAGCCCGATCACTCGCTGTTGAAGAGCCCTGCTTTGGAGCAAAACCAAATGGACATCGTAATGATAAATCTCTTGCATTTCATGATTGCCACGGCCACCATGACTTCTGTGACGTGCCCCATCGTACATCTCTTCTTCGATGTTCATAGTGGTGCCATGGAGGGTTCGGCTTGCTCTTTCTCCGGTATCTGACCAAAGGTCGGAAACTGTTTTCGGCAATGCACTTCACTCGATTGATGTTTTTTTGGGGTTCAGGTCGATCATGTTCATGATTCTCAATCGAAACCGTGTCTTTTCCAAGGTGAGCGGTCTCATCTTTTCCGGGTCTTTTTGTCTCTTTCTCAATCATCATTTTTGCTTCAAGCTCTTTGTTTGCGGAAGGCGAGATTTTCCCTAAACTCAGCAAAGGCAATCCTTTTGAGCTGCCAGGAGATTCTCTGCATGCATCTTCCGAAGATTCATCCACATTGCAGCTTCCTCATCTCCGTCGAACATGTCGTATTCTTCTAACAAAGGTTCATATTCTTCATCAAATGGGCTTTTCAAGGAAGGTTCCTTTGCAGTCCTCGATTGTTTTGTTTTGAGTGTTTCCAGATCATCCATTACCGGAATCTCCGACTCACACTCTACTCCAACTTCATTTTCTTTGTCTTTTTGAGTCTTTCCATCTGATTCCGTGAACAGTTTCTCGGTCACTGTGACCCAGATCATTCTTCTGTTGATGGCCCTTGAATGATCTTTGTTCTCAGTTTCCTTGGAAAAAAGGTATGCCGTTCATAATTTGTTAGAAATATTCTGACAGTATCAGCAGGAATAAAACCATCCTCATGGCGGCATTTCACGGCTCTTTCCGATTTGACGTCGAGAAATGACTTCACCTCGTCAACTGAGAAGTTCTGCAGTGTGACGTCGTCGAAAAGAATCGACTCTTTTCCTGTGAAAAGCAATGATTTCACAGTATCCAAACTGTCCACAAAGAAGTACTTTCCCATTGAGGCCAATATTGCCTTTGCCATTTCTGTCTTTCCAAGTCCTCCCTCGCCTTGGATGATAAGAGCCATTTCACCTTTGAAGTGTTCCATCCAAACACGAATTGTGTCTGGGATGTTGAAAGCAGATAATGGATATTTGCTTGTAGCTTTCGAGGTGCCTAAAAAGACATCGTCCCGGAATTGGGCCATGTGTGCCTTATTGCATTTCTGGATTTGTTTGGCCACAGCCGCCGTTCCACCATAGTTCCACAGAGTTGGATTGCCTGCTTCTTTCTCCTTACAAGCCAACACCCAGAACTCTTGTTCGTTTGTGATTTTGTGGTGTAGGACGTAGTCGGAAAATTCGGAGAAATCGAGCACTCTCCTTCTTTTTCTCCATCGGTCCTGATGTGTACCATCGCCATTGTTGCTTTCTTCCTTCCATTGCATCCTATTTTCTTCCGCTCTTTTTTTCAAGTAGTCCTCTTCGGTGAGCTGCATCTTCTTCAGCATGTCTTCTTTTGTCATTCTTGTCGGCCAGAATAATGGAGTGGGGTCTAAATGTACGGGTAGCTTCACAGCAGAGTCTGTGAGCACGTACTTTGCCATTTGGTACCAGCCTTTCCTCGGGTACGACATGTGTCCATGTAGCCCGTAGTGTTGAGCAAGTGTGTTGGACACCCCTTTGTGGGCAAAGTTTGCAGACATCTTGAAACAAACGTGGTAGTGCATTTCGTGTGCACTGCCATCCGGCATAAGCTTCTTGTGTGGTTCGTAAACCACTATCATCTGCCTCAATTTCCCCATCAGCTGGCACTTGTTCAAAGCATCCAAAAAGTTTTTTTCGAGCTCCTCTCTGCTGATGTCTCTTGGAATCAGTTCATTTTTCTTCTTTCTTTCTTCATAAGTTTTCAAATACGATCTCGGTGTGGGGAAGGTCCACATCATGATCCATGATCTGTGTTCCGTTTTCAGAGCCTTTTCTTCCTCATTTTCAGAGGAATCGTATTGACAAAGGACATATGAAGAATCATCCTTTTGTTGAGCAGTTTGCTCTTCATTCTGAGTAATCGGAACTGAGGATGTCTGCAGACATGGCTCAGAGGGAGACGAGGACATGAAATCTACGTTCTCTCAATTCAGTAGAATCGCTGTTTGTATTATTGTTTCCGATGTATATATATATATATTATATCGTATAAATATGTCTGGATGATGCGAATGTGAATGCGATATTCTGTTTGAACT